AAGGCTAGAGAGGCTCAGGAATTACACGTTAAAACCCCCCTTTCCGCAGTCGTGAAGTAGATTATGGGATTTTGTCATACAGCTTAAACCATTTCAAAGCCAAAGAAAAAGTATTACTAAGAAGTCTTGATAAGGAAATGGAGAATTTGCTTTGAGACCATTTTGCAGAGGTGTGTTCATAAATATTCATTTTAAACGTTTTCCTTTCCTACATTTATGTTTATTACAAAGCAAAATATATATTTTGTTGGAAAAAAGGGTACATGGCAGATAATCAAAGCATAAAAATATGGTATAAATACAGTATCTAGACTCTCAGTTCTGTATTAGAGCATATCATTTTTATTGGGTGTTAACAATATACTATAATACTACTCTCCCATACCAAACATGATAACTCCTGAGGCAACACTCTGATGTCATTAAGTACAAAAATAACTGGAAATGGAGGCTCCATTCAGCATGCCCCAGTGGGTATGGAGTAAAAGGCAAACGATACTTGGAACTTGTTATATTTTGAGCAGCAAATAATAATTAAGAAGCGAACAATAGCAGTACATAGATCCATGCTCCTTCAGTCAGTGGAACAACAATTTCTATCATCTACTTGGCTCCCTAGGAAGCAGAGACACAGGCTCATAAATAACCATTGGCAAAGCTTTGCTTTACTGCAGTTTGCATTTACATCAAACTTGTAAAAAAGACGAAAAAGAACGGCACCCTAAATCAGTAGAAAGCTCATTGAATTCAAGCATAAAAATAAGTGAATAATTTACATTCATTGAAATGGTCCACTATAAGTATGAAAGTATGTGAAACAGTAGTTTCTTTAAAATGTCTTCTTATTTGCAAGTGCTGACAAAAGAAATCTTTTTTTCCCTCGGCCATCAGCAGAAGAACGCATGAATGTTCACACAGTTAGCTGAAGGGTGTCTATTCCAGCTGCCTGTTGCCACAGAGATCTCAGGGTAAGAAGCCACATTGTAAACGGTCACAAGGAGAATGTTCTGTGTAAAGACAGCAATTTCAAGGCTTACAGAGCAATTTACCTCAGACAATGTAAACAACTCGCCTTGCTTTTTAATTACCTGAAAGGCACCAACACAATAATTTGATCACCCATGATATACCAGTGTGTTAAACCGTTCTAAAATGCAAACAAATTTTAAGATGCTGTTTATGGGACTTGTCCCCATCTGCAATTTTGATACTCCTCTAATAGTAAACACTGTACACTGTCGTATATTTTCATTCCTGAGTTTTCAGTTTGCTTTACTCTCACACCTTGTCCAAAAGATGATTCATGAGAGGAGATGTCTAGGCAACCAAAAACAAATGAAACATTTACATTTTCGTTCGAGACTTTACATGCGGTAAAGTCAACTACCAGATGTCAAAATGAACAATATTTTTAAACAGAATCAAAAATCAGCACACCTCTTGAACAGACGCTACTTAATCCACAAAATAAGCTCTTTTTCTGCTAGCTTCCTCACCCCTACAAAAATTCGCAAAGTAAAAAATTAAATGCTTTTGGATTGATCGCTGTTTGCATTGTGATGAGTGCACTGTTGTATTCAGGGTGAAAATGAATGCCAAATTGTATGGTTTATCTTCATATCAGATTGAGTCTCAGATAAACAAGACCTTAAAAAAAGCTATTTGCTCTGGTTAGAACACTATGCATTAAACACTTTTTAACATTAATTATTGTGATGGTGGTGGATGCTATTCCTGCTTGTTTTTCTCATTTTCATCATGTGTCATACTTGATGTATTGGGACTCCCTACCTGTTGCAACAAGGGGCTAGATCATTTCTTCGTAATAGTCTGTAAGTGCTTTTCACAACAGATGTCGGACTACTTATTTTGGCATTTTAATAAAGCACTGTTATCTCCGACCGTTTACCAATATCAAAGTATCTTTCTCTTAAAATAAATATTGCACAGAGGAGTCAGGCATTTCCTTTTTCTTCACAGTTAGCTGATTATATATACAGTACAGTATGAACTACTACATTTCTTGTGGCAGTGCATTATAATGAAAAGCAATACCTTTAAAATTGTTTTAACCTTGGTAAAATGCCACTTGTAATTTTGCATCTTCTTGGAAGAAAATGCAAAATATATTTAAAATAATGTATGATTTTTTCTTAAATTTGGGAGGAAAGTCAGATCCTTTCCACAATGTTAATCCTAACATCTGCTTCTACGTATTTACAGGTACGTATGAATATTCCTTTGAACATCTCTCTTGCACCCTTCCTGTTACCCCACTTCACCCTTATAGCAGCTCCCTAGCTCATTCCTCTCAAAAGTGTTGGTGGGGAGGTTCGACAGCCTCTTCATTACAGTAAGGCTGCTTATCTCTCAGCAAGGCGTGTTACTCCAGACAAACCTCTAATACATTTAGTCTCTTTATCACAGTTATTAGCATCTGACCAAACTCCTGAAATAACTGTTAAAGGTTAAACGCATACATTACTTAAATAGCAATATATTCATTTGCTAAATCAAAAGTTTGTTAAATTTCATAAACAGCAAAGGGTTGATATAATTATTAGCAAGGAACATGTCAGAATCTTTTTTACACTAACCCAAAGAACTACAATGCCACTCAAAGGCAGCAGTTCCTTGTCGTTACATGCACTGTAATTAAAATATTATAACCTACCCCATTATATACTAAAAGCTGTCCTTTCACAACAGATTATTGGGCAGTTGTCAATGGACCCCATCTGTTTACTTGTGTCTTTACTCTGCTGGACCTTATCTGACCCCAATCTGTAGCTAGTCTCACTGAATTAAAAAAAACATAAAATAATATTTTTAATTACTATCTGACAGGTAACTTTGTTATGTAATCATACATTTACTTGAGCTAACTTGTTAAATGTTAATTGGTTAGTTCTTTAATGGGTGTGTTGCTGTGTTTTAAATGTTTTTGACAGATCCTGCACCAAGCAGCAGTGGTTAATTAGAGATCCCCTTAACTAAAACAAATGCATTAATATTTAATATGCAAGCATTTGAAAGTATCAGATGGTGCAGCAGCTCATATGTAAAGTGTATTAGGTAATGTGGTGCATTTCAATTTACAGTTTTCTTATGTAATGATATATTTTATTCTTGAACAGATATCAAAGATAAAGTCTACACCTAATTTTGTTTCTGCCTGTAACCCAGAGCTTTGTGAGTCTTTTGTTTTGTCCCATGCTACTTAAAGCTACGACAAACACATTTAATTCTGTTTCCTGTAGCTTTACAAAACAGAACCCTCAGATTTTAAACACTGAACCTGAGTACATAATCTGCAGGTTTCATCTAATTTATCAAACTGAGAGGGAGTCAAAGGGTTGAAGCTTTTAAATTATATAGTTCTTTTAGTGAAGCACTGCTGTTTAATTACAATACTAACAGATGTTGAGAGATGGTAGGAAAAGAATTATGTTCTGAGAACTATGACCAAAAATTAACGTTCGACATCTTCTGCTAGTTACTGCATATTGAAATCAGAATCCTCAGAAATTATACTCCATGCTAAAAATAAAATATTCCTGTCTCAACCAATTGGCATACCAGTATGAACACACTGGAGGTAAAGAGGCAATATTAGCTATCAAATAACAAAACCTACAAGGTATACCCAAAGCCCTATACTGTATATATTCTGAATACTGGCTTTTCTTATTAGTAACTGGATGTTCTTCCAAGATATTCAATTTTTCAAAGCCCTCACTCAGCAGGCTTTCAATACTTTCAATACAAAAAGCTTTCCTTTCTTAAACATTGTGTAAATTACACAATAATTAATTATACCCATGACTGAGGAGACTGAAGGAGGAAGGCCCTGTATAAATCCATCATTTTAGTGTCCCTTCAATGCACTGTCAAGAGGGTGGAGTGAGGTAGGTCAAGCCAGTCCATTACTGCACAAGCCTGATCGTCCCTAACATAAAGGCAAAGTATTACGAAGTCAATGTGTTTGCATTCGTGAAATTGATTAACAAGTTGAACCCGAACCTGTGTAAATGTCATCATTTTCAGCAAAGCAATTTAATAGGACATTAGCTACAAGTTGGTCTTAAGAGGTCTTACAGAGGTAAAGTGAAACAATTAATCCTGGTAAAAGAAGCCGAAGCAAAATCAAAGAAAACAATTATCTTACTTTGACTTACTGAATACCCACTTCCTCAGCGGGGACTGTAGATTGTGTTTGCAATTTAAGTGTCTTTAGACAATGTTTGATAATCATACATTTACTCAGCTTGGGTTTGATTTATTGAAAACAAATACAAACGTTGCAAACTGATGCATTGATTTTTTGTCCAACTAGAACAAATGAACTTAAATCACAATATGAAAGCAAAGTGTGAGGTGAATGGAAACGCACAACTTGACTTCTCATCAAATCATTCTTTGTCCGGCATATAAGAAGACAAGAACTGGGAAGAGAACACATTCTTCACGTTATAATAGAAAGTCTGCTTTGAACAAAGGACAGTAATTCAGTCCAAAAGGTGTGTGGACTTCATCTGAACTCTAGAGATTCAATTACTGCTTTGCATTTTGTCTGGCCATCCATAACATCTTATATCTAACCTCACAAAGCATCAACTCCGGGAGGGAACATTATAACGAAATTTTATCATCACATGAAATAAAAAAATCAAATCAAAAATCACTTCACAGAATTTTTCCATCCATACATCATGAGGCATTGCTTGTTGCCATTTTGAACTTCCTCATTTAAGAAACACGTAAAGTCACAGGGGCATATTCTATTTCCCGTTAATGCACAACCTATTCAAATTTAAACTTGTTAAGCAGATATAACCTAAAATAGCGTCAACAGTTCATTCCCGCAAATTTGCAGAATTTGGTTTTTAATAACTATACAGTAGCCTGCCTGTATCAGATGTACTCTAAAAGTTTAGCACTGAGGGTAAAATGATTGCTTGAAAACTTTCTTGCATCTTGCAGCTTTCTTATCTCCTTACCTTGATGGGTTTTCCATCCGGTGTCAGAACTTCTTCTGAGAGCTCCATCATCTTTAGTGCCATTAGTGCAATGGGCTTGGCGTGGCTGTCACTCTTCCTGTGGAGGCCTCCAGCCACACAGTAAGCATCACCTATTGTTTCAATCTGTCAGGGAAAAACACAGCAAGTGATTACCTCCTTTAACCCTTTCCTGATCAGGAGAGCAAGCAAGCCAATGCTGCAATGGAGGACCATTCCTTTGAATTGGATTAGGGTAAAAAAGACCCTTTTTGGTTTCTCAGATGAACTGTAAAAAGCGCGTCTATCGTGCTTTCTTCGTTTTGTAATGTTTGCTTTAAAAACAGAGCCGTGCCGTTAAAATTATAAATAGCAAACTCATCCCCATTTGAATAATCTTTTTCCTGATTAACTGAATAACATTTCATGTGTAGCTATTGATGGTTGCTGGTTTGTTCGAGAGGCAGTATAACATTGGTTGTGAAGGAACAAGTCATAGGTTTATTCCATGCTGAAAAGAGAAGAAAAAAAACAAAGTTTCAGCTGTGGAGTCTTCTTCGGGTGTCCACAAGCTACTGTGTAATGAGTCCAGCAGAGTTTTAAAGAGTGCATGTTCAGGGCACAAAAAGCACAGAGAACAATTTATTATTTCTATATCAAGTGACAGAATATAGGTCACTGGGACTATCAGAAGTTACCTCTGCTGAGAGTAATGATTATCTTTTCAACTTTCCTGGATTACATCTCAATTGCTATCCTAGTAAATATTAGCTAGGCTGATTACATTCCCAGAAACTCTCCCTCATCTCAGAAGATGACAGAAACATCATTTTTTATGGAGTCCCTGTACATAATCAAACTGTAGGCTGTGCATGCTTTTACAGCATAAACCCAGTTCTAGTGCTTTTTTTCATGGCAAGTTAAGCACAAAGCAGTACACCTCTTTGCCAGAAAAAAAAGTTCTATATCATAATGTTGATATGATTATTAAAATTTTTAATGCCAAACAACAATCCCATTTGACCCCTTTTTTGACAAACAGCAAAGGGTGATGGACAATTTAATTGTTGTGAGGAACGGAAATGTCAGTCTTCAGTCAGACCATGCTCAAGCCTTACAGCACATAAATAAATCTTCTCTAAAACTATAAAGGCTGTCTTGTTCGTGCAGTTAACAGGAATCAATGCAATTCAACTTTGCCTCTGGCCGCCACATCTTTGCCTCTTGTAAGTAACTAAGTTCAGGACTCAGACATATCCTTGGTCAGTATTTTTTTAAGAACTTTGCACTTGAGGGAGAAAGGAAACCCATTACTGTGAAGCACAAGTGAAAGATGTCAGCACTTTTATGGATGAACCTGGCAATTTGAGCAGCAACTCATATCAAGACCTCCACAGGCCATTTTTCCTGCTGATTCACCAAGTCTTCAAGGCACAGGGTTTTTCATTAAGAGGCTGACTGCACCGTGTGAACAAACAGAGTGGCCAGCCGTAGCACAGAAGACATTCCAGACATCAAATAAGCCCTCATTTATTCAAGTTCATTCAGTGGCACACAGACAGGATGCACAAAAAAAAACAAAGACAAAATGTCCTTCTGAAAGAAAAGGCTCTGCAGTCACAGTGTCAGACTGGCGTGGTGGTTAGCACTATTGCTTCACAGCCCCAGGATACTGGGATCGATGCTGGCTGGCACCTGTCTGTGTGGACATTGCATGGATTTTTGCTGGGTTTGCTGGTTCCCCCCAAAGACAAGTATTTTAGGTGTGATCGGCTCTTGCCGTGTCTATTGGGATGATGATGTGCCCATAAATAGAATATTTACCTTAAATAGTACAGCAGATGATAGATATTACATTTGCTCTGGACCTGTATCGTCTTTGCTGAGTGTCAGGCCAGAAAGAAACCAAACATCTTCAGCAGCTTTACATAAAAGGCTCTCTTATTCAAAAGAGTCAATTGCACTTTTAGGAAGCATTGAAAAATTAACTCCAGAATTTGACAATGTGCAATACAATGAGACATGGGAACATTATTCCTTTCATAGTAATTTTGGTATGACTAAAAAGTATCATGGCACTGCTGATATTAACTAAATAGTACTGATGGTATTCAATTGGTCAAAATACTGACAAGAGACTTTAAACTGAGGATGTTAATGCTATTAGCTGCATTAACCCTTAGTTTTGTAGCATTTCATATCTTTAAATTATAGTATCTGAGGTCTTTAAAGGGCAGGTGCAGACAATATTCTTCTACCTATATATCTTAAATATTGTTATGGGTTGTGCCAAGTACTGTATAAATTGTTATTTTAATTGCCCCTTTTCTTAGCTAATCTGGTTTATGAGGGGGGATATACTGTACAAAGCATTTGCACTGCTGAGGGGTTAATCTAAATCAGATCAGTGGTATTATTTCAAGTAAAATTATTTTTACTGTATATCCAGTTGGATCTGTTTGCCACTCTCATTTATTTTAATGCATTTTTGTCTGGGGGACAAGATGTCTCCTCTGTAGCATCACTAAAGGGCTATGCTTACCTGTTGTAGAAATACAGATTTTATTTAAGCTACCTATCCTTACTAAAGATTTATGTCCACTTATAAATATACTAGGGAAGTCAATGTTAGTGGGAGGTTGAATATAATGTTGAGCTCTAAGACCTCAATCGCAGACATTAGTTTCGTGTAAACGTACTGTATATTTTGTTATCTTGGTATTGTATTAACCATATTCTATTAACTATAATCTTGTTTTTTCATCCAAAATATCGGTTTAACTTTTACAAAACGCCCCTACTATTTTATAAAATTCACCACAATAAATTTAAACTTTCCATGCATGTATCAAAGTTAAAATTCATTTAGAAATATAGAGAATACTGTCTCACCTTGTAGACATCCAGGATGCCACACTGGTAATCAAAGCGAGTGTAGAGCTCGTTCAGCATGCTGATGACCTGCATGGGGGTGCACTGGGCACAGATGGCTGTGAAGCCCACTATGTCGGAGAAGAGCATGGTGACATCGTCGAACTTGCGCGCCTGCACCGTTTTACCCTGCCACAGCTGCTGGGCCACGTCCCCGGGGAAGATAGAATAGAGGAGGTCCACGGTCTTCTTCTTTTCCTCCTCCAGGGCCTGGTGCGTCCTCTCCAGCGTGGCCTTCAGCTTGTCCATACGTTTCTTCAGCCCGTCCTGGGCCTTGGCCTGTTCCCCCACTAGGATGACGTCTCGTGTGGCGTCGTGGATTGGGATGTCTGACAGGTGCAGACCTCGGCCCATCAGCTCCTCCAGCTTGTCCACGCAGGGAGAACCCAAAAAAAGGATGGAGTTGGACTCGGGGACATGGATCATCTGTCCTTTAATTTCCATCACCTGAAATGCATATAATAAATTAACTATTGTTCACGAGGAATGACAAACACCCAAGTATAAAGCATTATGGAGTGAAATTGTGGCTTAACCTGCTTGACTGAGGGCTGGCCTCCCGGCCATAGGACAAGGAGACCAGGACCCCCATGCAGGGTGACCAAGGGGCAGCTGCAGAGGTGGAGATGGGGTGGAGGTGGGATGCAAGAGACGTGCAAGAGAGAGATGGGGATCTCATAGGTATTTATAGCGTTTTGGAGAGGAATGGATTGTCAGGAGCGATTACTAATTACTGACAGCTGAGTCCAATTGAGCTTGGTTGTTGTTATCCCTCCCGAACTTTTGTTCTAAACTCCACTAGGTAGGCAGTGTAGGTTTTCAGTTAATAACTATTCAGCACTCATGGTGCATTGAATTTTTTAATTAACAGGTAGCATAATTGAAATTTCATAATTGAAAACAGTGCAAATGTTACTTAAAATGTAACTAAAACGAGTGCAGCGCAGCTTTTGCTTAACTTTGTGTGCCATCAACAGTGGCAAAACCTTAAGTAAAATGATCTGTGCTTCGTTTGAGTAGCGCAGTTGCTGGAGATCCCTGCGGGGCAATCTATGTGATGACATATTTAATTTCTCTTACACACACACAGAAAAAAAAAGCTTAGATTTAGAATTTCTGTCAGTTGTGTAACGAATGCAGTGAACTGTGCCAGACGATCCAACCGTTCTATTTCCAGCCTCCACTGAGCTTTTGCAGAATCAAGTAGCCCAAAGGCTGGAAGTCTCACCTTGCTTTCTTCTGCACTCCCCCTCCCACCCCCATTGTCAGTCACACTGCATTCAAAAGTGTTTCTATCCCTGGTGGGCATTTCACTGGAGTTCTCCTGCTTGTCAGGAGGGACATTCAAAGGAAGAGAAAAGCATCATACAAATATAATCCTGCACTTCCTGAATGGCCAGCTACTGTAGTACAACAGTACAGCGAAATATCCAAAACAGTAATGCACATTTTTATTATTCTCCAAATAATTATGGGTTAGTCTATGCATAGTCTAATGACGACCCCTTAAACATCCTTGATTAACAATTCATAATCAGATACATCAAATAACACATCAACATGCTGAAAACAAATTTTAAGTCTTTAATCTTGTGTGTATTGCTATTTGAAAATTGTTTACAGGGGCACAATTCTAATGCCACCTAACCCTAAAACTCAAACCAGACCTTATGTTTTCTGTCCAAGATGCATTAACTATATTTACTTTTCTTTATCTTGAAAGCCAGCATACTTTATTATATTTTGTCGACCACAGAGGCCTGTGGAACCTGGAGACTTGCAAGAGCTACAAATCACGGAGGCAAAAAAGCTTGTATTATACTATTATGGTCTTCCCTACAGGATAATGAAATACAACCAAGGCAATATTGATTTCAACTTCAGTAGATCAAGGTGGGCAGCAGGCTTGCCTGAGCAAAAGTAAGCAATACATTATAACATTTAAGAACTGAGTCCTGCTAGAGGCTGGGTAAACCTGGCACCTTGCAAGAAATAAAAAAAATCAATTATACTGACCGACATTATAGCTACTCAGGAACATGAAATTATGAAAGAGACAGGCAATAGGCCTAAGTAATTAAAATGCTATATATTGAACAATACAGCTTTTACCACCCCCTCTCTTCAGGGGTTAAAGGTATCTGCTTTGTCTGTTTCACAAGCATTAGCTGGACAATAAGAGGTCTTTGAGTGTCTTTTTCTCAGACTACGGTTGTTAATGTAGTATTTTGTCTCTCCAAAATGTTAAACACATTACCTTGCCAAAAAGGTGTCACCCACCAAGAGTCATTTAAAGTTCCTCTGCTGTATGAAGATGACAGGACGTCATGATGATTTGATAGCAATTTGTAATGTCAGTCCTATGTTGAAAGAATACTACAGAAATATCGTCCTGAAAACTGTGTTAGTGTGTTTTTGGAAATGATGACATTTCCCATGATGCCTGAAATAAACTCCCAATGTTACAGGCTTTGACTGACCTTCTTATCACAAATTCCAAGCCCATTCCTTAATGGCAGATTTCTGTGTAACAGGGGCTCTTAATGGATAGCCAGAAGCAGGTTTTGGGGATGTAGCTTGTGATTACCAGGGCTGATTAAATCTCTACTTTACCTCAGGCCTAATTGAACTAAATGGCCATGTCTATCTCAATGCCTAAGAACGTTTTAATGACGGCAGGTGACCAACATAGAACCTAAGAAGAATCCAACGAGAAAAATTAATCTGACCCAAGCCAAGTGTGTGGCAGACTCTAAGTAAAAAATATGCTCTAAGAACACTACCAAAGATCAAGACCTGATGAACGCATTTGATTTGGTAAGACTTAGGTCTGTGCAAAGAACTGAAAAAAAAAACTGCGTCAGCTGGCAAAAGAAATAAGGAAATGTGCAAACTGATTTTCAGGTTATGCTTATTCTGATCATCCACAAAGTTCTTTTTCGTTAAACAGTTCAACAAAACTATGCCCAATTAATCATTTTTAAATCCGCCTACCAAGCCCAACCTGATTAAAATTACAACATTCTAGATCTAGATTTTTGGGAACACATATTAAAAAAATGCTCTAAAATTACGCCATCCTTATTCTTAAGCATTATCATTGCAGGATTTCGAGGATTATAGACTGCATGGGTATTACTCCTCTTCCGCAATGCTAATCTTGCCACAGTCTTGCTCTCTGGATTAACCAGGCAAATCTGACTGTTTTCAGTAGCTAATGTCACAAAAAATGATTCCGCCTATGAGTAAGCTTGCAACAGTACAAGTCTCTGTATTATTTATAGAATCCCCTGTGGTATTACATAACATATAAAACCATTGCTTGAAGTCAAACATAGTGTGTCCATGTTTGAGGCTTTATATAAAATGTGGCCTGTGAAAAGAGATATAAAAAAGATTACAAATGAGAGGCCATTTTGCCTATCCAGCCCACTAGGTGACTGGCAGCTAATTGATCAGAACCTCTCCTTGAAAGAAGCCAGACTATGGCCTTCCACAATATAGCAGGGTTAGGGTTCAACAATCCCATAATCCTCTATATGAAAAGGAATAAGTAAAAGATTTATTCCATGCTGAAAAGAGAAGAAAAGAAGCACATTTCAGCTGTGGGGCCTTCTTCAGGTGTGGAAGGCTCCACAGCTGAAATGTTGCGTTTGTCTCAGCATGGAATAAACCTTTACTCGTTCCTTTGCAGCCTGCGCATGCTGATGCAGCTACCTATACAAACAGCTCTGTAGGGGAAGATGCTTCCCATTTTCAATTTTAAAAGCACTTGCCCTTAATTTGCACCTGTCTTCTGGTTCATGTAAGAACCTTGGTTTAACATTTCACCCAAAGAAGAGGAACTCCTACAGCACAGCCCTTGTTCAGGAAAGGTCATTTGATCCAGAGATAACAGTGCTGACTACAGGCCCATCAGCACCACTTGCACCAGCAAGACGGTTTTGAGGTTTTCCTTTGATGTGCTGAATCCCTTTACCAGAGCCAGACTTCTCATTAGTTTACAATAACGGCAAAACACGTCCCACTGTTTATTGGGATATCATTTTTGTATGCAGCTCAAAAGAAAGAGACACCAGCTTTGACAAGGCCGCACACATTGCCTGAGAAATCCAATTTCAAAACACATTATTATAGTCTAATATTATAATTACAAAAACACATTCAGAACTGTGTAGGATCGTCTTGTGTTTAATAATTTTGACTTGGTGGGGTAATGTTTCTGCATTGCATGAGTTTGCTGCAATAAATTCACTTGAGCACAAAACAGTCTTACGACGAGCAAGAAAGAAAATTCTGACATAATCTGATTTCCGCTGTCTGTGAAATTCAAAATTTCATTAGTGCCTTTGGCAAATCGCTAGCCCCCTAAAAACATAATCCCATTCCTCTACGAGTCTACACTTGATGAAAATTAGATTGGTGATATCAAGTTGATGGTGTTATTTGTTGTTGATGTTCATAGCAAATGTAAACTGCAAAATATAAAATCATTTTATTTCTTTCTAAACTCGAACGAAAATGAGAATTTTTTCAATGTGCATTTACAATAAGGGTATTATTAGATTAGTTGTCAGGGAGCAGTTCTCTACTGTTGGGAAACTTCTTGTAGTTACTGTATTTATTACCACAACTTCAATATACTGTACTGTATCTGGTGATTTGCCACATAGGCGAAATTTAAACACTACAGCTATTTATGTACATTATAAAATGCATATAAGACAATGACACCCCCAGATCCATACAAAACATTTCCATAGTGACATCAGGGTTAATATGCAATAAGTCACAGCACTGCAAAACAAGGCACAAAAGCACCAACAGTGAATTTCCATATCAAAGTATGGCGATTCATTAAGATCAGAATTGTCCCTGGGTATATCATATTTGCACTTTGCTGCCTGCCTGGAATGAATAAGATAACTGAAGTAAAGGCTTCACAATTTCCCAGCCAGCTTATGAAAATTCATTAGAAGCGACAATGTAATTTAAAGGAGCATAAGATATTTCACTTGATAACACCGGTGGCTTATCGCTTAAAACACTAACAAAACAACTGAACCCTTTACCTTGGGGTGATAGTTGCTATGCACATTTGTTTAGAGATATTACAGTGTTTCAGTGGTGCAAGCAGATAATAATATTGAATACATTTTAAAAAGGGGGAGGGCTATTTTCTGGACAGTGATATGTTAGAGATTAGGAGACCAACCGTATTGTTTAATTTATCTACCCCTGCACCCTGCCGCCTCTTACAGCTCAGAGAGGAAAACTCTGTTCATAAAAAGAGAATACTCTGCTGTTTTCCAATTAACAGCTTCTACTTGTGGCCAGTATCCACAATGGCCCAGTTTGTTGGATATTGTTGGCAGCAATAAGTGGCCAAGTGGAACAAGTCACCTCCGGTCTGAAAACCTCCTTTTAATAACCATCCTCAATTTCTG